CCCAACCAACAAAATAATACGCCTAGGCCCACGGGCCATTTCCAAGGCCGTGGTTAGGCGGGCGGAGCGGCGAAAGCGGCGGCGACCGGTGGTGACACCGGCGAGGAAGGCGCCCCGGCGAGGGCGTGGGCCAAGGAGCGGGCGTCACGCAAGACGGAGGGAGTCGGGGCTGCAGAGAGCGGCTGGGCCGCAGCTGCGACCTGAGGCGAAGTCAGAAGGGGGGGGGGGGGGGAGTAGGCGCGTCGCGTCGCGAGGGCTTTTCGAGTGCAGTAAGTGGGAGCGGCCGGTGGGAGTGAAGGTCGGGTCCGAGCCGCGCGCCGTTCAGCCGAGACCATAAAGTGCAGGCGCCTCCAAGACGTCGGCCTCGTGGGTGCGGCGGCGGCGGGCATGATGATGCTGGAGATGATCAAGGCGGCGGCGATGATGGCGGCGGTGATGAAGACGACCATGGTGATGCTGGCGGCAATCGAGAGCGGCGATGGTGAAGAGGGCAAGTCGGCGGAGGTGAAGTCGGCCTGACCCTCGCGCTCTGCGCAGAGGCGTCGTCGACAGAAGAGCGAAGCTCTCGTAGTGGGAAGATGAGCGCCGTCCCGGCTGCCAGGAAGGCCGAAGCATTGCGCGCGCCGCCGATGACGCCGCCCCCATTTTGCGCCGGGGAGGTGTGACAGTGGTGGGGGCTGTGTGGCTTGCTTGCGTTTGTGCGTTGGGTGGAGAGGCGTGTGGTCTACGAGTGGAGGGGGCGCAAGCGCCCACGAAGCAGCGTCGACGCACCTGTGAGTGGGATGGGAGCGGGGTCGCTTCTCGCAGGCCAGCGGAGGGGCAGGGGCGAGGGCGAGGCCGGAAAGCAGAGGATCGCCTTGTCAGTTGATGTCAATAGCAAAGCTTGGCCCACCGTCATCAGCTGTGAATGTGTACTCTCGAGGTTCTCGAGGTGGATATCCTTTGGCCGCGTTGGGTAGCGAGGATTGGTGTAACCCGAGCCACGGAGGCGTGTTTTCTGACGGCCGACCGTCAGTGCACGGAGTTGCCACTTCTCCGACTGCCCCGGCTAGTTCCCGAGTTTCGCGGGAGTGACCCCATGCGTCAAACCCGAGACCTAGCGCGGGTGGGTTGGAGGGGCCTCGGAAAGGCGCGCAAGCACGCCCTACGTCTTCCCCTCCTCCCCATCGGGCCGCGTGAGCGGCCACGCCTCGCAGATTCGTTTTCGCGCCTGGGTCAGG